TTTAGTAAAACTCGCTGTGAATTTGTTCTTATGTAAGACTCATATTTTGATGAAACAATCGAGTTCAGCTGTTTTGGACAAGTAGTGAATTATTGAGTGTCGTGGTACAAAAACTACCAGAACTTTTTAGTTGGAGATTCTTATTTTACAACTTAATACTTATTAAAATTAATTACTTTTAATCGTGAAAGCTCTAAATAAGTCAATCTAGACAATGTTATTCCAAATCATATGGAGCCCGCTTATTTTATTTCGATTTCATAAAGGTTCAATTACATTAAAAATTAGCTTAAATGTTTTACGTTGTTAGGAAAACCGTTCATTTCATCGATATCAGAGAGGAATTTCGTCATTTTTTAAGCTTAAGGTTCTGGCACTCTAATATGAACATTAATCTGTAGAATGATCGGTTTCCGGCTACCTAAAAAAGCAAACCTTACTACTACCTGGAAACATTTCAAAGCCACTATCTTAAGAAGCATTAATCTATATTAAAAAGTTATTTAATAAATAAACACCTATTTTATCGGGCGTCTTTTAAGCGCGTATATCTTGATAGGAGGGTCTACCAAATTTTTTTTACTGATTCGTCATATTATGTTGAAGCCCTGTATACCTATGTATCCGCAAGCATTTTTCTAGACACTTAGTATGTAACAAAATCGCAAAATATGTAAAACTATAAAATAGAAAGTTTATCCTTGATCTTTTACCCTTAAACAAATAAGCAGCTGTGAGTCATATAAAAAAATTTAAACATTAAAAACGCATTTTTAAATATTTTCTAATATTTCATTCTTCTAACTAGACAACATAAATATCGCTTTAGACCGCAATTACAAAACTAATCAAACTGGAAATTTGACTAGTAATATTGTTTCCGATTGACTAAATTACGTAAGGTTTTAATTATCATAATCTGAAATGTCTAATATGCTGAAAATTAATTGAAAACGGATTGCTATATTACACACTTAACTGAGGAAAAGTCAAATAGAAACGGAGAAGTTTAACATATTTTGAGCCTAGCGGCGATAATTTGGATCAAAGTTGTAAGTTCTAACAAGTTGCACTGTCAGAAGCTCCCACCTGCTAATACTCTGAGGATAATTAATATGATCACTAAAGTTGAGTATTTACGTTAAGAATAAAATGAAATGGTCTAAGGAAAAAGTGCTTTGTTGTTTTCGAGCTTTAATAAGTTTAGTTCTATAAATTTAAAAACTGGCTCAAGTAAATAATCGGGTTTAGCTCCTGCAATTCAGTTTTTCCATAATACGTTTTTCAAAGTTCGGTTAAACAAGTTATAAAATATAGTTGTATTGCAACTGCATTCAATATGTCTGGATATTATTTAGCGTCCCATAAAGCCGATCTTCTTTGCTTGAGCGCATCTGGAGCTCCATTATGAATATTTATAACTGAATTGCATGTTTCCATTGAGGCAGCAAGTTGTTGAAGAGGATGTAAACTTAGGTTCCGTGTTGGGGAAATAGTTGAAAAGTTTTCAGTCAGCATATTTGCTGTTTATTTGCATGCAAATGTGAAGATATGTGTAGGAACGGTGCTGCTAGAAGAGGCGCTAAGTAAATTCAACTCGATGAAGGGCAAAGGTTTCGCGCACATTTTGAAGTAGGGATTTTCTATTATTTATCGCTGTTTGTTTCTTTAAGGATAAAAAATCGATGATAAATTGTTATGGTGCTGTCGCACCACCCTAAGAAAGGGTTTTGAAGTATTCTTTTTTTAAAAAGCACTTTCATTTATGTTAAAAATATAAGAGATGAGAAACGACACAACAGGAGTTGGACAAAGTAAAAATAAATAAATGAAATATTAATTTAGGATGTGCTAATTTCAAAAAAATATATTTCCATTATTGCCATTGACTTAGTATTTGTTTGGTAAGAGGAGCAGAGCATTACCGTGTGGCTTCTTCTTAATGTTTGCTTAGGGGAATCATTGGTAAACAAACGTTTTAAGAATGTATATTATTTATCCGTCAAGTCTACTCATAAACCGCGAGAAATATTTGATAAATCGATAAACAATCATGTCACCGACTCGGAATTATTACGGTTTACTTCGAAATTCTTCGGAATTTCATTATCTTCGTAAAACTTTCGAACCCTGATAAATATTTAGGCGAAACAATTTCGGGTCCGATTTCTAAAGAAAAAGCGTCCGCATAGTTTAGCTTGTGGCCGACATAAATATTTAGCTTTTCGGTGTAAATCACGATTTTAAACTGATCCTGAAAATAATGTTTGAATTTATTTATTTTCTATGCATCCGAGAGAAGTTTTCCCCAGAACGATCAACCGATCAATAGGCTCATTCACATTATATAATGGCCAGTATCATAACTTAACTGCCAAACTTAATTCAATTGTGTTTGGAACTTATTTTAACATAAACATGCGTTGAATTGCGTAACACGGATATATTGCTTTGTTTCAGTTGACTTTCAGTGTTATTATTCAAAATATGTTTTACATACCTATAGATTTATATTTCCTAGGAAGTGTGAGTGGAGGTCACACTCACACTTCCTAGGTACATGTTTTGGAAGAAATTTGGGTAAAAGCTCAATTCATTCAAAAATCTATGAATTAACAGGTGATAAATAGCATGACCACGGTAATCACACTTCAGTAAAGTTTTTATTAGCTCCAACGTTTTAAGGGTGACAACCGGTTATTAATTAACTGTTCACTTACTATTTTACTTTGGAATAAATTAGAATGTGCTTGGCACGTTATAATTTATGAATCAACTGTTCAAAGAAAAAAATGTTTTTTGTTAATCTGATTTATATTAACGCCTTTATTAAGTTTTGGAAGATCAATTTGCTGCCTTTCTACATTAGGTGTAATACTTCGCAAAATATTGAGAACACATTTAATTTAATCATTAACAATTCACGAAATAAAAAACACAAAAAATAATGAAAAAACTAATAAAGTGTCGGAAAAAACTTCTCATTTTAAGCAGCTAAAATAACCACCTACACTATAAAAAACAACAAAAGTAATTAGTTTTTTTTACAAACTTCTTGTTAGGTATTTTGCCTCAAACATTTTTTGTCTTTAATAAAGACAGAATTTCCTCACGCCTTTTTTTTGCAATCAATTTGCACAGACGAATTATCAGAGCGAATTTTCATGTACTGTATTATTCTACTATTGTTACACAATTTATTAACATACTCTTTTTTAGGTTCATTTAGGTTCTTTTGATAACGATAACAGAAAATCACTATCGAAACGTCAAGGTAATTTTTCAAATTGATTTCTTTTCTAATTGGAATTTTCTCTTACAGCTTGAGCCTTAGTGTGTCGCAGGATACCCTCAGCTGATAGTTCTTGATTACTTTTTGATAAATAATTCGTTCTTATTGCGAAATAGGAGCACGATTTATCAATCTGCAATAAAAGACGTGAGAAAATTATTTCAAATTATTTCGTTTTTAATGACATACATTTTTTAGGAGAAATACCCAACAAGAAGTTTGTAAAAAAATTAATCCGCCTCAACAATATAGGACTTATCTAAAAGTAATTAGATTTTCAACTTCTGTAGGTTCTCAAATTTTATTTATGTAATATTTCAAATTTACTTTCTTAAATAGCCTGAAATTCACTATTCATTCATGAATAATAATTATTTATTTATTAATATCACTGCTACTTAAAATAGAAAAATGCAGTATAACGAACTATTATTTTAAAAAATCCTTCGATATGAAACTAAACACCACAAACAATATCCTTTCTTTTAGACCAACCAAAATGTGACTACCACTGCCTATCTTCTACTGAGCAGCAAAGTTGGACAGAACTGCAATTGGACAATTTTGTTTCAAAACAGAAAGATCTACTTATTCTAGCTACAAATTCATTTTTTTGAAAATTTATGCATAACATAGTCTGCACGCGGATGAAAATTAAGTTGCGTTTTAAAATTTTGCCCTAATATTTAATTTTCTTGGAATAAAGATTGGCGTCACCATTTGCACTAGTCTGAACACTTACGTTCCTTAAAACAATATATCTTGAGTAAACAGTTACTCTAATCTTGGAACACTCTGTACATTCTAACATGACTAGACTTAAGAGGTGAACATAAAATATTGGCTATCGGTTTGACTCATAGTAAATCAAAGAAATATATGAATCGAGATATGCAAAGGCACCAAAAAGTCGTTTTTCGTGAAGGTGATTTATTATTTTTCCTTTGTTATTCGTATATTCATCATTTGAAGAAGTGGAAATTCATTATTTTCCTTTTATAGAGATACAATTCGTAGAAATTCTTTGGGGTGGAATTTTTGTAAATTATGGAAAGAATGATGGTTAGGAATGAGAAAAGAAATGAAACGGTAAACATAATGTTAATGTGTCGGACTGCGTTGCACTCTGGAAAATGTGCTAAATATTTAGTAATTTCAAGAACACTAAAAAAGGTTGCACGCATAACCAGAATCAAGCGAGAACTGGAGTCTCTATATGGAAACCACACTTTCAACTCTTTGTCGTTTAGTCAGAGACGAAATAGAGTCTGCATTAAGACTTTCAGAGATATTAAAAGCTGCATGGCCCAGCGATTTATCGATTTTCACCCAGAGTTCCACCTGAACACCTTAACCACCAACATTTTTCAATCAGGTACAGGTTCTAGAGGCAAATTTTATAAAATAATTTTATTTCTGACGGTAGTTTAAGTAATTGAAAAACACATTAATTGTACTAATGATCCACAAGTCACCCGAACATATAAATTTTAGAAGTGAATATATAGTCTTGAAACTTATGTTTTGCGCAGAAACATTATACAAGATACTTGTGATTTCAAAACCCCATAAAGATATTTTGACCCACGACCCACTAGTTTCAAGCGATAGACAATTAATAAATTCTAACTTTTGATAAACTCAAAATTCTATCTAGCGATGTTGTTAACTATGAATCTTTTCTAACACTTAATTAAAACATAACTACCACGTGCAAATAATTTAATCAGTACTTTTATAATGTTTAATTCACATGCAATATTCTCAATCCTCTTAAATAATTTGTATGATATATTATGTTTTATATGTAATTTCAAAAACAACTTTAAAAATTAACTACCAACTACAGAAACAAAAATACACATACAAAAAATTACGTAAACAAATCAAAAGTCATCAATAAAATAATTCACATAATCAAAAAATACAACCTAAATTAAGGGACAGACAGTATAATGATGGGAAAACATCGCCCAAAGTCATGATCATTAGAGTGTCGGGTCTTTGAGTTGGATCTGGTTTTAGCAATAAATATAACAATTCTTGCATTTGTTTTCCATATATTCGGGTATTTATGGGCCTAATTTTTCCACCAGCAATCGACAGAACTACATTTGATACCTGCAATAACAAATAAAATTAGTGCTAAATTTTTTGGCTTAAAGCCTAGATAATCTCGAATTACGGATTTAAAATCTCACCATTCAAGAACAGTAAATGATATTGAGTACAAAAAACGACTGTAGACAAGTCAAATTGTATCAATTAGAAAACTAATTGTTATTACTATAAATATTTGGGAGAAAATCAGGTAGTTTTATGCGGCTAAAATGGAAGTTACAGTGACAACAACTTGTATTTTTATTGCTTTCAACCGAGCTTCCTTTAAAGTCCTTCCAATTATTTTAACAGAAGATATGCAATCATAATATACTTATATAAATCTCGAGCTCAATACTGCGTTTGTATATTATAACTAGTTTTTTTCGTTTTTTGCTTTTTTAAAATAATATTTGCCGCTCCGATCTATATTATGCACAGGTAATTTCTTTATTATCATATAATTATTAAAATATTAATATTAATTATTTTTCTCGGCGGCCTGAAAGCCGAAATGCTGAACTTTTTCAGCCTTTTAATTATTTGATCAAATTGCACAAAATTAACTTTTGTTGACGGGTTGAGTCATAACGAGGAGCTTTTTATTTCAATGTATCTACTCACCGTTCCATCAAATAATTTTTCTAATTGGCACATTTCAAATAAAATGCATCCTAAAGCCCAAATGTCTGATTTCGTGTTGTACGGTTTTCCATCGCAAATTTCTGGAGCTGCATAGTTGCAGGTTCCAATTACGGTGTTGGTAAAACAATTTCTATAAATTCAAATTTTGTGATATGAAATCGTCAATTTATCCAAACAAAATAACATTCCAAAAATATGACTATTGTTATTATCCATTAGTTAGGTACGAAGTTTCAGATGATGTATAAATTAGCCGGATAACTCACTTTGAAAGCAATTTCGATATTCCAAAATCCCCAATTTTGATAACATTCGCATTAATCCCGGTAATAAATATATTTTCGCACTTCAAGTCCCTATGTATGATGCCCCTATTATGAATGTGATGCAGTCCTAAAACAATTTGGCAGAAGAAGTCCATAACAGCCTAAAAACATTGAAACGGTAGTCAAATCTTTCTATCAATATATATTATATTGAAATATGAAATATTATATTGAAATATTGAAATGGAAATATTATATATATAATATTTCCTGAATTTTCAAAAAAATGATGTTGTTAAATATATAAAATTGTAGAGAACCTGCGGCTCTAAATATGCATTTGTGGTTCCTAGTTTCGCAATACAGTCGTGTAGAGTTCCATGCTCAGCATATTCCATAACAATTATGAATTTTCGGTCCAAAGTATAACTGTCTAAATACTGAATGATGTTCGGATGATTCAAGCACCTTAAGATGTCTACTTCGTTTTTTGCTTTCTTCAAATCATCCCCCATCAATTCGAACGGAATTTGCTTCATAACGAATGATTGTCGGTTATGGAGTTTTTTTGCAGAGGTAGATGGTTCTGCAAGTACCATTACTTTATACGAGGTGTCTCATAAGCACATGATCCAACTAGTATTGTTAAAGACCCCACTGACTTTTCTAGACGGTTTTGAACGAACAGTTAAAACTGTACGGTTTTGGAATGGCACGACAAAATATCCACACACTTCTTGACTACTCTGAGTTATTTTTCAACATTTTAACCGTATGGTTCTAGTGAAGGATTCCAGAAGAAGAAATTTACTGTTAGCAGTGAAAAGCTGCTAGCTTTCATGATCTAGTAGAAAGCACAATAAATCAAAATAGGACTACCACCATTTTGGCGAGTTGAAAAACTATCGTCCATGTCCTGATCGTTCAGAAGACTTCACTTTTTACTTCTTTCCTACAACACTCCCACATAGAGCCACCCACTATTCTACATGAAAATGTTTGTGTTTGTATCTCTATTAATTTGCAGTTAATTCATTATAAACTGTGTTGTTTGTTTTTGGAGGAATAACTTCTGTAAATCTGAATACATTTCATAAAAACGTTTTATCAAGACTCGTTATGAACATTAAAACAAGAATAACAAGTAAGTCAAGATCTAACAAAGAAAAAAACAATTTAGTTTGTTATTGCGCACTAAAGCCTGTGGGCCAAAGCAAGGTGATCTGCCCTAAATTTATTAAGAAAAAATGTCCGACTTTACTGGCATTTATGATCTCCAAAAAAATATTCCTTGTATTATCTGGAAAATGGTACCCTAAAATGGTCTGGACCTTTCTGTGGATTTGTTTATACGCGAAACTAATATTTTGTTGAAGCTTCCGCGTTTATACGCTTTGGACAAATGTTAAATTCTTGAGAGTTTTGCTATAAAAACTACCTTTAATTAAAATTAACTTTTTACATGGTAGCTGGAATTACTTCAATTTTTTAGTGTATGTATTTATCCTTGAAATTGAATTATGTGCTACTCAATAATTCTGAATTCTTTCTTATTTTGAATCCTAGGTATTGCTTCCTTTATTTGGGAATATCGGGGGAACTACTAAGAGAAGGACCATTCGACAGGAATGCAGACCTTCGTTTTACGATCCATTTGAAGAAAAAAATTCTACTTAAATGGGCTGTTTTAGCTTCAACTGGCATGAGTTACATCTGAACTCGACGATCGAGAGGAAAATCGAAGGAAGGTGGAAATAAAAATTTAGTTGCTTTCCCTAATTATAGAAAGCGGTATGGCAAGGTCCAAACATTTATTGGGCCGTCTTTCTGAAAGTGATTATTGCACCTTAATCAAGGCCTTCTGTTTAATCGTGTAAATTATGAGAATATTAAACAGCACTTCAAAAAATAACTGAAATTGTTGAATAGCCAAAAAACGAAATAATCAAAGAAGAAACATCAAGAATACAATGAAAAACAAAAGTGGATTATGGTTTCAAAGAAACGAAACTTCTAATTCTTCTTCTAATCATATTTCATAGACCCCATCTTGTAGAACTCGAATACAAGTTAGGCATCAATATATTATAAATCTCAGACTAAATAGCTCCTGTTGACTCATTGACTCATTGATTATTAATTGGAAAATACTCACCCAAAGGTACCTCTACCTAATTGTTCAGTAATGTGATAAAATGATCTGGTCATAGTTTACTACTTCTTGTCGGGTCAACAGTTAACATCACACTGTACACACTTCAAATATGAAATATTTGAAGAACTGAAATATATTTTAACCATGAAATCGAATAAAAACAGTTCTGTTTTTAAATAAAAGTACATCGCCTACTGTGTTATCTGGTATGTCTTCGCTATGCTAAAAATTCACAGAAAATTCAAATCGCAATTTACAATTTTCCATTTTACATTTTACGTCTATATTAGTCGTTCTGATAATATCTCTTGAAAATACGATTAATCTACATTTATATTTGCTATGTTTCACGATAGGTTTGTTGAAAAATTATGAACTATCAATTACTTCTCTCCTAATAGTAATTGTATTTAATATATAACAAAACTTCTCTATAACGAGGGTTTGATCTGTTAACAAATGTAACGTTTGATAGAGCAAAACTCTATCAATTGATCAATTATTCCAATCATACCAGTATCACGTTCAGACTTAATAAACAGCTTTATGAACATTAGATTGAGAATATTTAGTAAAAGAAACCTATATTTATTTATATTGATATTATAGTATATTTACTCAAATTTGAGTAAAAAAACATTTTTTGATAATAGTATCCAAATGTGGTTTTGGAAGGACCTTTTGCTTTACTGGACTCATTTTTTATTCCATTTTCTTCAAATAGTCTTTTAATCGCTTCAGCTTTAAGAGCAGTTTCTGCAATATGGACAAAATAGTCACTAAAATGTAATGATAATATTTGAGCAAATGTGGTTTTATGAATCTTAAATGTAATGGTTAAAGTAAAATCATAAATTCTTTATTTTTTCACAAGTGTGGGTTACTAACCTCTCCATTAAATTTAGCTTCTATAAATAGTGTCTAATAAATGAAAAATTTGCATATTGTAATGAAACAACTGCAAGCACCTTTGACTTATTACTAAAACAATAACCGTCCAAAACATTTGCAGAATTTCGGTAAGAGAATTTCAAAGCTGAATTAAAGCAACTTAAAAAAGTTTGATCTTCTATTAACTTCATATCTGCGAAGTCGTAATAAATATGGAATCACACCGTATTAGCTGTTTCGTTTGCCCGTCTTGAGAGTTATCAGTTATTGAAAAGGTTTTACCGGAAATTCTTAATTCTCATTCTCCTTTAAGGAGTTGCAAGCAAAATTGCCCCAACCCTCAACTTAACTTAAATCAACTGATTGATACTTCGCGAATAAATCGAGATAAACCCAAAATTCGATCGGTTTGGTGTGTGAGAGGAGATGATGAAACGGTGATAAAGTGGACGAAAGACGACGAAAATAATGACGGTACCTACAAAGTAAATGAATGACCCGTTTAATTAATTAACACGACACAACCCGAATTATGTTTAGATCATTTTTAATTACTTAATTAAACGAATATTTCTTCCTCAAATTAATATTTCTGTTACTAGATAATATATAAATAATCTTTATTTCCTATAGAAAAAGGCTATCGACCCAATAGGTCTTTCTACCCTTACTAGGTAATTTTTTAATGATATCCAGTTTTCATTACTATAATTTACTTTAATTTTAATTATAGCCTGCAACTTTAAAGTGGCTCTTTCCATCCTTTTAGAGCTCGGAAAAAATTTGCAAAATGTTTGAAGGTTTACTTAAAAATAAATTATCTGACAGAAGACATTTTTAAAAACTACAAACTTAAAACTATGAGTCTGAATTTACACGTTTGAAATGCAATAAATCGGACAATGTATTTTACAAAGCAATTTAATCCTTAAGAAGATGTATTTGCATTAACTTCCGGAGAGTATTGTTCCTAGAGAGAAGAAAATATGTAAAGTTTACATTACATGATCCCAAATCAATATTCTGTAAATTTGATATCTATTATTTAAGATTCTAAGGGTGAGATCTCCTGTCCTAGGGGTTTGAAACAAGGAGGACAAAAATATTCACTTAAAGTGTCCCACTGACTAATAAAATTGGCGGGACATTCCGATTTCTCATATTTTCAACTGCAAGAAAGATATTAATGTTACGAGTCAGGTTTTGTAAATCGGACTGTTCTCCTACGAACGCAAGCAGTAAAAATAATTTTGTTCTGCTGCGAATTACAATGTTAATAGCGCTGGAAGCAGTGATTTAAATCATTTATCAGTCTTTTTCTTTGTGATTTATAGCCTAAATGAAGACCAACTTTGTGGTCTTAGGAAATCATTCTCAATTTTTTAGAATTATGTTTTTGCTGAAGTTTTTGACATAACTTTTTATCATTATTTTTATCTGAACGTTTATAATTTAAATGTAAAATAAAGGTATTCTGTTGTAAACACACCTCTAACTATCTTTGAAGTATCTAAATGTATCAATTATTATTGCTTTATGCTGTAAATTTCAATTTTTACTGTCTTGAAAGTTAATCGATTAAATTATGTCCCATGCCATGACTTTAAACAAAATATTGCTCTCAAAGGGGTCAAAAGTGAAACTTTCTACCCAAGCCGGAGATAATGGTAAACTTTCCAACGTCGGAAGGTCATTGAAAATGGCATTTTCGGAAGAAACGTCGTTAAGAAAAAAGTGTTATTAAGGGGATAATCTACAACGGAAGTCACTTTTTATTATTGAAATCCAGAGAGCCCAAAACCAGATTACTTTTTCTTCAGGTGAATTAAGCACCAAATTAACCGGTTCTTATGCCCATTATCAATAAGAACAGTTCAACTTTTAAGTGCTTTTTGCTCAATCTTAACTAGTCAAATTTGCCACAGTACCCGTAGACTGTTTTACTATGTAAAATAGGACTAGGGGTGTTCTGCTGCGATCACACCTTCACGAATTTTTGGCCCATTTTTCAAACCGTTGGCAAAAATCAGACTTTAGTGCGATTGAAGTGGAATTTTAAGCGCTGTCAACCCCATGAGTGTTCTATAGGGCGTGGAAGTTTCAAGTTGCTACTTCAAGTTATGAACTACTTTCAAGTTATGAATTGTTAAAGGAAAGCGTACAGTTGAGTAAAAGTGTGAATTTTCCGTCGAAGTGGAGCACTCACAAATCACGGCATATTGTGCGAATGGTTTACTTTGATTCTGGTGGATTTGCTAAAAATTGTACAGCCTCTCACAAGATATCAAGCTAAAAAGGGGAGCGAGTATTTAATTTAACATTCAAAACTCTTGCCCCGAAAATCGTCAATATGAAAAAATTGAAATCGAACAGCATAGCAATACAATGAGTCACCCAAAGGGCCAGCGAGCAAACTACTTCTATCATTATGTAAGTTCTGTAGCTCAGTGAGTTTTTATGTGATAAACACCTTAATTTTGCATGAGTTTTACCGGAAAGCTGAAATAGTTTAGTCTATTATGGGCAAGGGACTAAGTCGGTCGTCGGTTCTTTGTTTATAAACGGGATAAAAGTACCAATTTAGTGCCATTTAGGCACGAACGGTCGATCATCTTACCGGTTAATTGCTGACTGTAATCCACATTTATTTTCAACTTTGTGCGGATTCTCATTGTGTGGTCGTGTAGTGCGTTTTTTTTTAATTAGACTATGGAGAATGTTGCGCAAGTTTGCAAAAAGTAGCTAAGTATTATTAATCCATAAACCCTTAACTTGAACTGAGTTGAGTTTTAGAGAAACATTTACAGTTTTATTTAGTTTTCTATTTCTTTTTCTTTCTAATCAAATCACTGGGTTTTCCAATCAAATCACTTTCGACTAAGTTTATGTAATAATACAGATTTGTCTTTTTTTCCAATACAATGCAGCTTTCGGTAAGTTAAGCATTACTTTTACCGTTCTGTATTTTTAATTACTTTAATAATTCTGTTGTAAATGGCATTTTTTGCAGCCCTGAAAACCAATAAGTACCCTTGAATCCAGACCAACGTGTTTGTCACATTATGTTGGTATACCGGTTTAAACTATTTCTAACAGCGGAGCTGAATTTAACGCGGCACAAGAAGTCGGAATCGAGCATCCACCGGACAACATTTCACTAAAATCTAAGCAAACGCTGATTTTTTCGGAAATTCTAAACCCTGAAGTTTAAAATGGCACTGTTTATCGAATTCCAGCCCGCGTTAAAAAGACAAAACTTCTCAGAAAGCTCTTCTCATTCAACATTTCACAGAAAACAACGGAGCACAATTTAAATAGGCAAAATTTCGCTCAA